AGGTGTCACCTACCACAAAAAGAATGATTAAAAACAGACTTTGCAAGAAAACCGGTAGTTCATTACGTAATTGAGCAAGGGAGTTAAATGACTCAAAACGCTATAAAGAGAAGAAGAAGCAAATTAACTGTGTGACCGTGCAAAAATTTGTGAAAACTACGAAGTGGGGTCACACAGCTTACAAACTAACCAAAAAAACCTCTCATGTCACAAAAATATATCGATGACCGTCTGAAATTTGAAGAACTCCTTCAGAAAAGTGCCCATTTGAGTGAAAAAAGACTTGGTGAAGAATTGCGCAGTCACATCCTTTGGACTGACGAATCTATTATTGAACTATATCCAAAATTGAACCAACAAAATGTTCGTTACAGGACAGAAAACAAATCGGATGTACCATCAAGAGCGATCCCAAAATTCGGGCTTAAAGTTATGGTAGCGGGTGGATTTTGTGCACGTTGCGTGACCCCTCTACATATCATACCAAAAGGCAAATCAGTCAATGCAAAGCATTATATGGAAAAAATATTACCTATCTATTTCGATAGCATGGGGAACAAGGAAATATTTCCGAATGAAAGAAAAATAGTTTTCATGCAGGATGGTGCTATAGCCCATACAGCAAAAGCGAGTTTGAGTCTCATCAAGACGCAAGTTTCAACGGTCTGGAGCAAGGGGGTGTGGGCCGCTAACGGCCCAGATTTGAATCCCCTGAAGAACCAGTGGTCCATACTTAAGGAAAATGTATACAAAGAGCCACAACCCCGGACGAGGGAAGAGCTAGTAAAAAAAAGTTCAAGATGTATGGAATTCGATTTCCAGAGGCACATTGGAAAAATTAGCACAGAGCCTTAAACAAAGAGTTGAGGGCATGGTTAAAGTAAATGGTAACAAGACCAAATACTAAGGTAAATATGTCGAACATTTTTTGTAAGTATCACGGGTAGTTTTTTTTTATACTAGCCTTCACTTTTTTACAGGAAAAATGGGATCGGACTTTATTAACACCCTGTATATATAGGCAATTTTGATCCTATGTGTCTAGTTTTATCCTAAAATTATTAAATGTGAATATTTTGAAATTTTGCGATTTATAGGGCTCTGTATTGCACACCATTCCACTGGATTCAACACAGCGTACGAAAACCAAGATGCGTTTCCGCTGAAAACATATGGAATTTTAAAGGTTGACACTTTTTCGAAATAACTAGACGAAGCCAAATATCTACATATAAATCAATACAGTTGTAATTAACAGATCACAAACAGATGGTGCCTAGATCAACATGACTCAAATAATCCATGTATGATAGCTTGCTCAGGTCTGACCTTGGAAATTCAACGTAGTCACATCTAGGGATGTGACGTCATGACATGTCATTGACAAATTGACATATTGACATGTCATAAATGTCCAATTTGTCAGACATTTAAAATTTGTGACAAATATGACAAATATGACAAATTCAAAATATCATAAATGTCTAATTTGTCCGGCATTTAAATCTTTGACAAATTGGACATTTATGACAAATTGATTTTCTCAAATGAAGATGTCAGCGCAATCGACATTTACTTTAAGCAAAATATAAAAATTTCATTTCCTGTCTCGACTCCAGCATTGTGAGATTCTAATACTGGCAGGAGCATTTAGTAGGACTCGATTTACACAAAATTCCCCCTCAAAGTGATGGAAATCACCAACAATCCAATTTTGCTTGGATCTTGATAAAATTTACATTTTTGTGATCCCAAATACTTGTGTGATCATATCCAGTAGATATCTCAACTTTTTGAAATTTTCGAAATTTTGGGGCATTCCACAGTCGATGAATTATTTGAAAACATTCAAAATTTCAAAAAAGAAGATATCTACAAAGATATGATCACACATGTCTCTGGGATAACAAACAACACACATGTAAATTTTATCAACATCGGAGCAAAATTGGTTTTTTTTGGTAGATTTTTGAAGTTGGTAACTTCTACAGCTTTCATGAAGGGGAGTGGCCATCCTACATTCGATTAGGGCTATCAAATAGTCCACATGGGAAATATTAATGCAAACATTTGTTTGCTGATGTAAACAGTTAGTTATATTCAGCATCCATACCATTGATAATATGGTAATTGGTAAAGTTAGAAAAAATTGATAAGTAATAGCATAGGTAAATTAATTGAATCAATTAATTAAGTACACTTGTCTCGATTACTTTTGTTGCTGTATCCTTATTTGAAGATTTAGACAACTCTTGCCTTAAAACATCTTACTCTACGAACTCCACGGATGGATTTTTTTTATTAATTTCCTAGCTTAATTAATCAAATTAAATCAATTTATGTACGAACACTTAGTTTCTTGACAATGAGGCATTCCAAAAGACTAAATTACAAATTCTAACATAAATGGGGAATATTGAGACAAAATGTCATATTTGTCCAATTTGTCCGTCATATTTGTCTAATTTGTCCGTCATATTTGTCATAAATGTCCGACATATTGAAATCATGACAAATTGGACGGTCAAATTGACAAATATGACATATATGACATATATGACAAATATGACATATATTCGATTGACGCGGACAAGCTCCATCCTTAGTCACATCATACATTGTAATTAATTATCAGTATTGTTATCAAGATTTGCAAACTGAAGACGTCACAGAGACTGCAAGATGCGCCAGTCACATATTTCTAGTTAGCGGAAACTCATTTACACCATGGTCTCCAGCATTTCAAGAAGATTGCATGAACAACGATACAACGTTCTACACGAGCGATTGTGCAGGTTTGTTCATTATATAAATAAAACAACTCCCAAGTTCGAATTATTTGTGTGACTAAAGTTCCACTTATATAGAGGACCTAACCTTAAGATCATCCCAGACAGTATTTTATCTGACAGAGGGGGACACAAATGTCATAATTAATTGTTCCGTGGTTAGCTTTCCTTCTCCAAGGCTTCGATGGTCCTGGAGTGGAACTGTAATTTTATCCTTTAAAAGTTAGGGGCCGTCCATAAATTACGTAACAACGAGTCTAAGGCTCTAATCATATCGTGTCTATGTTAAAAGGGGGGAATGGTGTAGATAATTGCGATTTTTACGTTATGTAATTTATGGACGACCCCTTACAGCACTTGATTCATCTTTATTTAAATATTCTAAAATTTGCTTGTAAAGTCTCCACATGTACTTTGGGTAGAAAAATTTGATTTCTTTCGCATAGGTATTGAAACCGTTTCATAACTTGCAACCCATTGCGGGTTACATTTTAATTGTGTTTTCCACTTGGAAGTGTCTTTTAGTAGACTTTTATAGCTCGTCCTAGCGACAATGAATTCATTATTCGCGACGTCCAGTTAAATTGGTATTTTGCAATTAAAATTTTGTAAGTATCGAAGTTGACGTCTTAGCGTAACTTTTTAGACTTCCAAAATTGGACTGTTTAAATAAGGGCCGATCCTGCTATTGTATTATTACAAATAAATTTGACTAAATAAATATATTTACTACTAGGATGACAATGATTTTATAACTAATACGACTCATCCACCCGAGGATGTTATGGATATCGAATTTGTAGCCACTTTAAGCTTCAGTGAAATCAAATTAAGTCATAATGGAACTTACACTTGTCACGCTGAAAAGGATGACTTGAGGGGTAGAGCGTTGGAGACTTATGATTTTCAAGTGATTGTCAACCAAGTAACATCACCATCCACAGATGGCACTACTACCGGCAGCACCTCAAATCCAACATCAGATCCTACAAATCCTACGGATTCTACAGATCCTACAGATCCTACGGATTCTACAGATTCATCAGATCCAACATCAGAACCAACAACCAATTCCCCTATTTCGACTATGCCAACTACAGCGGAAAGCACTGAAACGACACAAAAGTCTTCAAGCCCGACAACAAGTTCTTCAGCTGACCCCTCGAGTTCAACAAATCCTAGTAGTAGTAGTAATAGTACTGATTCTACTTTTGATCCAACTTCAAGCTCAACGGTTGAAACAACGCTTTGGGCTTCTTCAACAACATCGGATAGAACAACACAAACAACGTTGAATCCTGCCGACCCAACGACACCTTCGGAGGAGGAGAGAATTTATTCGGCTTGCGAGGTAGCACAGGAACTGACGTATTTACACGAGGACAATATAAACTGGGGAGAACACATTGAAGACTGTGAGTGCGAATACATGTGTGTGGTTAAAGCCAAAATTTATTCGGAAACACAAACTTCAAATTCATTATTACCAACGCAGGGTTATGCTTATCGGATGTAACCACACGATTTAATGGGTCGTATTTATCAGCAGATCCAGACAACAGCGGACGCTTTTACTATGGAATTTTTAAGGTAGTTATTTTATAAACTTGCATATCTCATACATTAGTATCAAGAATTTCCTCAGACAAATGTATTAACAGATAAGCAACGAATGGTGCATGGATGGTCACAACATCGCTAACCCATGCAGTATTAATTGCAATAGTAGGTATCAAAATAAAAGTTCGTAGCTAAATAATTAGCACATGAAAGGTTGAAGCTATACATTTGTTCGATTTTAGATCTCTTTCACAATGACTTTGACCTGGAAGAAAGTGCAAGCTGCTCGAAATATATTTTTGCTCAAAAAAATTTCACGGAATGGCCAGAATTTGCAGAACTATGCGAAAATCTTGACACAAATTATTTACAAAACTGTAGTGGTACGATGATCTATTTAAATGCTTCCACCTGCAAAATGAAAGGCATTAAATTTGTTTCATTTGCAGTACCACCGTTCTTCACCTCTGATGGTGCCGATCAAACTAATAAGCTTTATAAAGAGTTCGACGTGAATGAAAATATTACATGTTCAGCTGTGGGATACCCTCCACCAGAATTGTCTTGGGACGATGCTACCGGTCAACACTTAATTAACGCTGAGGGAAGATTGGAAGTTTCGACAAGTGTACAGAAAATTTTTGACGGCAATTGGACAATGCAGTCGACCATAATTTTTACGGAAGTATACATGATGATCGAGAATATATTTGCGTAGCCAAGAACTCGGCGAGTTCAAAAACCCTGAGATACAGTGTAACTGTAGTTAGTTCTGAACCCGGTTGGGAGCAAGCATTGATTATTGGGGGGAGTTTCGCACTTGGATTATTAGGACTTTTAGCGATTCCTGCAATGTACTTAATTTACAGAATGCGAGCCAAGGTCTGAAAAAATAAACTATGCATCAAAATTTATTTTCTCTAACAATTATAATTTGTAGAGGAACCGACTTCTTCGCGAGATATATCAACAATTTAAATACGGACAAGAATCAACCGACCCTGCCCAAAGTACCGACCTAATTAGTACATTCAATCCAGATGCTTCCTCGTATTTGTCTCGTTCGGAATATGTCATCTATCAAGGCGCAATTAATCTTCCTTTTCCGAAAGCACTGGAAATTTTACCCGACCGTTTGGAAATTATAGAGTCTGCAGTTTTAGGAAGTGGAGCATTTGGTATTGTTTTCCAAGGAAGACTTGACAGCAGAATTACAATCGCTGTGAAAACTGTTCCTAAAGATGCTGATGAGTCTAAATTGGCTGCCTTGTTATCAGAAGTAAAAATAATGAGTTTTGTTGGACGACATCCTAACATTGTCCAACTACTGGGAGTACAGTTCGTAGATTTGAAGAAAGGTAAATTGTTTGTACTTACTTAATTTAGGTACAATAATCAATTTATTACAGAAACGTTACCACACTTTAAAATTCGCAGGCATTGTATACGTTGCCGTGGAGTTTTCTTCCCGTGGATCCCTCGAGGGCGTGCTCCAGGCAAACCGTCGTCAATTAGGAATGGCACAATCATACCTTGGAAAAATATATAATATTCCCGGGTATATTGGTTTACGACTGGTCGAAAGACCTTTTCAACTATATCAGTTGCTAAAGTTTTCTCATCAAGTTTGTTGCGCTATGGAGTTCCTTGCGTCAAAAAGGGTAAAATACATACTGGCACTTAAAAAAGCATTAAGATTGTTATTTATTTACCTATATATCGATTCACTTAGATAATTCACGGTGATCTGGCTGCACGGAATGTGCTACTGGATTCCAACTTCAATGCTAAGATATCGGACTTCGGCTTATCCAGGCAAATGTATGACACATACAAAAAATACGTTGTTGCAACGAAGGTATGTTTGTTGATATAAGTATGAATTTATGTTCATATATCTTATATGACTTTTGATAAAAAATATATCTTTAGGAAACTGCGATGCCTTGGAGATGGTGTGCCATAGAAATTTTAAAACATCAAAAATTCTCGATTGAATCTGACATCTGGGCCTACGGGATTTTTGTGTGGGAGGTTTTCAGTCTTGCAGAAATTCCTTACACTGCAGGGATAACTTGGGGACCTGAATTCGTTAGATACTTGGAAAGAGGGTTTAGACTCGAAATTCCACCCTATGCAAATCAAGAGATGTGAGAGAGTTTACTTAAATTAGATGCAAGTAACAAAGTATTATTTTTATTTACATTTTGTAGATACCAACTGATGAAGAAATGCTGGGAGGGACAACCGTCAAAGAGGATAAGTTTCCAACAACTATCAATTCAAATTTTGACTTTGCTGGAGGCTGAATATAAAAAACAATATTAAAAGAATTGATTTCTTGTCAGCTTTACATAGATATATGTAAATGCATATATTTAAATACTAGTATATGCGTCCCAACTATAAAAATTCATTACAATTTATATCAATAAGTGAAAAATATCCTCTTTATTTATCCATCAAAGTTGATTATACTGCCGATCCGATATATCTATCTTACTGCCCGGTCAATATTTGACTGCTTTAATTTACAAATCTTTTTAAATTAAAATAATACATTTCATTTATTAAACTTTTTCCAAATAAGCATAATCAGAGGCAACATTCATTATCTGAGAGAGGCTTGGGCAAAATTTTGTTGAAACTCAGAACACAATTCGTGGATCAAGCGTGTATTTCAATTTCATGTGAAATTTTTAGCATGTGTTCTATTCCTTAAAATTGCGTAAAAATTATTTCACTATCAGGCGTAATTTATTTGCATTACGTACAAATAGTTAATGAGATTTGCATACACATTTCTTTATTTGACCTCGGCAGCAATAGTGTCCGTAGTTTCATTGACTCTTTTTTCCTAAAATATCAAATCTACTAACGTGAAACTTTTCATAATTTTTTGATTGTCGCTTACTTATTTACAAAATACATATTACCAAAATATTGTGTTAAAAAATCCATCGTTCATAGTCCTGGGTACGTACATATTTTGCATAATGCATGACAGATTAAGCAAAGGTGTCCTAAGTCATTGGGACCCAGTTTTAAAACAGAGTGCCTTGTTTGAAATATAATCTGGGCACTACTTAATAAATGTAAAAAAACTGATTTGCCCACATTTAAAGAAGTATACGAAACAAATGATTTTAATTATCTATGTGATAGTTAAAAAATGGGTGCACAAACCATGTTCGGACAAGATTTTTTTTGACCGTCTTAATTGGAAATAGGTGTGGCGGAGGCAAATGTGACAATAGAATCAAACCACTTGGGGTTTCTTGTAACACTTCAACATATCCAAAGGGCAACGAATTCTGAGGGTGACAACTGGTGAAGTTTTAAGTTGATCAAAAATAATCTTTGCTGAACATATTTTTCGCTCGCATTGTTAGAATCCTTAGTGCGACGTAGAAACATTAGGCTGACGGAAAAGAAATTCATTTAGTTTTTACCAGTTTGTCTAATCCATGCGTAATGATAAGAAACCAACTACTTAAGTATATGTGCACGTTGAACTGACAGACTGATGGGATGGTTCATTTATATTGTATTACAATTTCATAGTGATAATTAAATATGCATTCATTCATCACTTTTATCAACATTGAGATTAGCTTTGATTCTTGAATGCAACTCCGAGAGTTTGTGCATAAAACCAGGCCATGTATGGTTTGTTGTCTGTTTACCCATTTACATAATTGAATGTGGTCAAGTATATACATACCTACATATGTACATATTAAAGTTATATGGCAAATCTTGGTTTAAATTGCTTGACTTATGTACATACATACAGACAATATGGGACTATTTATTAATGGGCACGTTTATTAAAATGTGTATCAAACTTTATATTTAGGAATGCGAGAATGAATATGAATGTTAGACGTTACTGAGGAGAGTAATTGTTCGTTCTTATCAAACACTTACGAAATGAAACCATGGAATCGAATCCTTCTACACTTTCTCTACACTCATATAGCACCACAACAACATATCCAAAGGAAATCAAAGTCTTCCGTTGATAATCTCGGACCTATGTAAGTACTTCTTAGTTTGAATTTTCACACTCACAAGGAAACATACCGAGGTGTCCAACGAGTTAAGGGTCGACACCTATACCAAAATGATCACAATACATGACTTATTAAACAAACTGAAGGAATTTCCGTGTAAAATTCACTTTTCGTCAAGTTGTGACGATATTTTTGACGAGCGCTTGACCATCGGGTTGCCGTCGGGAGAGGTCGGCCGCTGAACGATGAGGTCCAATACAGAGAAGCGTCGTCGTCTTCTTCACGTCTTCTTCAGAGATTTCAAATTTTTTCAAATTTTGAAAATATTTGAAATTTTGAAAACATTTTGAAATTTGGAGAAAATTTCACAATTTCTTCAAAATTGCGAAATTTTGTCAAAATTTCAAAATTTTCTCAAAATTCCAAAATTTTCTTAAAATTTCAAAATTACCTGCAAATTTTCTCAAAATGTGTAAGAATTTGAAATCTCTGAAGACGACGACGCTTGTCTGTGTTCGACCTGATCGTTCAGTGGCGGACCTCTCCCCCGCTGGCAACCCGATGGTCAATAGAGGTGAAATGGATATCCAAATTATCCAATCCAATCCATGGATATGGATTGGATTGGATAGTCGGAGATCTGGATTGGATTGGATGGATTCTTGGTTGTGGAAAAATTATGGATTGGATTGGATGGATTTTCGGTTATGGAAAAATTACGAATTTTCACTGTGACTTTCTGTTTAGAAATCATAGCCAGGACGTTATGTCATTCCTAATATTCTAAAATCTATGTATTTATCTACTTATATTTTAATTTAAAGCAGGCGAGTGTATTGCTGGTTTGGTCTGTAACATATTGACATGTGAAAGGAGGACCAAATTCACTAATGTTAGCATTTGGTTTTTGCCTGTTGATTGGCGGTTGCATAAACTAGTTCTGTTATATTAAAAATATACAGAAATATAACTATAGGTGTGTATATCATGGTAGTATTTTTTGAAATATAGTTTTGCTGAGTTTGTAAATATTATATCCATGTTTTTTCCACTGGATTATATTGGTTTAATTTAAAACTAGTGCTGGATAATGTAGATTTTTTGTTTTTGGTTTGAATTGGATTGGATTTTTAATGGTTTGAAAGTTATGGATTGGATTGGATATTTTTTTTACAAAATGGAAATTCGAATGGATTGGATGGATTGGATAAATCCAAATGGATTTTGGATTGGATGGATTGGATAAATCCAAATGGATTTTGGATTGGATGGATTTTTCGTTTTGGTAATTCATTTCACCTCTAATGGTCAAGCGCTCGTCAAAAATTTCGTCACAAATTGACGAAAAGTGAATTTTACACGGAAATTCCTTCAGTTTGTTTAATAAGTCATGTATTGTGGTCATTTTGGTATAGGTGTCGACCCTTAACCCCTAATTTAAACGTAATTTATCACTCGCCTTATCGATGTTTGGATTAAGTTGTAATCCCGAATGCAGGGCAAAGCGTGCGTCAATTTACCACCAGGAATGGTTGATTCATTGTCTATATATGTATTTACTTATTTCAATTTATGTACGTACTTTAGTTTTGCAGCAGATTTGTCGTTTTAGTTTACATTTTATTCTTATCGTACGTAGATACATATGTACAGCACTCGTAAAAATCCAGTATTAAAATAATACCAAGCGGTATGTATGCATATATCATCTAGAAAAGTGTTATTTATAAGTAATACCAATACCATGTACATATCAGAGGTCAACGCCGCCGATTACACCCCGCCGCGCCGCCGGAAGCCCTAGGGTTTTGACGCGCCGCCGTCGCCGCCGCGAAAATTTAGGAGGCGCGCCGGCGACAAAATTCGGCCGCCGATTTATATTTATGCCAGGAATTTTTTAATATTGATTTTTCAATTTTTTTTTAAAATTTTCAAACTTAATTTAAAAAAATGTTATTTTCTTTTATTTTGAAAATTGATATTAAAAAAAAATTATATTGAAATTTACTAGATCACGTATGAGTTATGCCAAAAAATGTAATTGTCTAAGCAAGTTCACGGCTTGCCGTTCAAATAAACAATAATACGCAATAAATAAGGGCAAAGAGTTATTACCATACCCCGCATAATTATTTTTTTACTTGGTAATAACTTATTACCAGGTTTAAACACATAAAATAAGGACGCATCATAAAATTTTGCAAGAAATTTCAAAAGTAACTGCGTGAAATGAAAAACGTCGTGATGTTTAACGCATTTGTACACTATATCGGTATGAAACAATATGAAAAAAATTCCGTTATAATTACTTTTGAAAAAGTTGTGACGATTTTAGTGACGCAAGTCTAGGAATCCCAATTATTTAACAAACGGTGAACTTTTTTGCGTTTATTAACTTCAACAGATTCCACCTCTTGCAGAGACATTATTTTGGTATGTTTCTGGTCAATGTGCAAGACAGCCGTCCATAATGGCCAAAATGCACAAAAGTGTCTAAAATTGAAAATGAGGAAAATGGAGAAAATGGGCTTTTTACAAACTTGGCCCAGTGATTCAATCTTCGATTAATTTTTAGGAATTTTGATGTGTAATACAGCATTGCTTGGAAAATTTCTTAATTTACATATTATAAGAAAACAAAAAATTCCAAATAATGCATAGATTTGCAACAAATGGTAATAAATAAATTGTTAACATTTTGCCCTATTTTCTATTTTGGATACTTTTGAGGATTTTGGACATATTGGACAGTGATTTAAACCATAACGAAACAATGTCTCCAACAGAGGTAGAAAGTGAATCCACAAAGGTGAAAAGCAAAAAATTTAGCCGCTTGCTAAAGTATTGAAAAAAAACCTATACTAACTTCACTAAAATCGTCACAACTTTTTCAAAGATGATGTTAACACGGAAAATTTTTCATATTGTTCCAAACCGATATAGTGTGCATTTCATGCATATAGTGGTATAGGCTATACCGTATAGCTGAACCCTCCACTCACATCAATAGTATCTGTATACCTAGTTAGTTTAGATACGTTTAGTAATTTATTTAGGTGCTGCCGAAGATATTTGATCACTACGCCGCGGCGCGCCGCCGCCGCAGACCAATATGCATGTTTACGCCGCCGCCGCCGCGTGAACCATCAGCGCTAACCTCTGGTACATATGTATGTATGTAGTAACAGCTGGATATTAAAGTTTTACCCTATATGTATGTACAGTATGTAACAAATTTAATGCTACGATGACAAAATTTTTATATCGACATGAACGCGTAAATTTTAAAATTTCAAACTCCGCACAAAAATCTCAAAAGTATTGTGACGAATTATGCCTTCCCGACCCTAATTACGACACTTTTCTGCGTATCCAACGCACTTCCGGGTTCTTACTGCTTTTAGTATTAATTATTATGATGGTGAAATAACTCAACAAAGCATTTGACAACTCCCGAGATATCTTAAAATGAGTTCGACGCAACGACACACTTTTACAATTACTAAACTCCTTATTTATTCCCACTCAAACCCCCAATTAACGTGACGAAGTGCTTTGGAGGAGACAAGATCTGATGAGCCCTGCTTTGACTACTGAGAATAATGACTTGATAAGTTTGACCAGAACTACTACTAGAAATCTTGCCTCAGCTGAGAAAAGTAAACAAACCTGCCCTTTTCTGATATAATTTCCAAAAGGACGAGAAAAAACCCCCCCACTCTAATATACTACCTATCTGTATTGAGGGTGGACAACCAACCAACAACACGCAACCAAGATCGGACAGCCAAATCTTGTACTGCTACGACTTACGTTACTACTGGATGACTCCTTCTGCTGCTGCTGCTGACCGCTGCTTCACCTTGGCAACCTCGAGCTGGACGCAACGCACTACTCTCGCAGCGAATTTCCAACTCCTGACTACTCTGGTGAAACACCCCGAGCCTAACTAATTACAACTTGGCACATAAAATTACTAGCTATCCTGCTAATTAGCTATATGATATTTTTTCTACTACTGGCTACTAATATTTACTCGCTACTTATGCATTAAAACCTTTCAAAAGTTAAATTAAATGCCCGCACCGGGGTCATAAACTTAATATAATAATTCTCAGCCTACTTTCCTTCAAAGTATAAAAATACTCCTCGACAGACTTTCTCTCACCATTAACTGGACATACATACATACATATATCACAGTATATACGGACAATTTCCTCGTCGTCGATTTTTAATATCGCACAAAGGTCAAAGGTCACCATTAATTTTGTGAACAAATTTGAGGCGTCGAAAAAAAAACTTCGTGGATAATTTTTTTTGAACTTTCTAATATTTTTTATCGGATACGACATGCGTTTTGAAGAAAAATGAGCTTTGGTCGGACCGTGTACGATTTTTTTGACGCCCACAGGAATTTTTCGCCAAGGACAGGTCGAAGGCCTAAAATCGCCACCGCGGCGAAAATGCGAAAACTGAAATACACGTTTGCATGTCGGGACTTTCAATATGCAAACGTATATTTCAGTTTTCGAATTTTCGCCGCGGTGGCGATTTTAGGCCTTCAACCTGTCCTTGGCGAAAAATTCCTGTGGGCGTCAAAAAAATCGTACACGGTCCGACCAAAGCTCATTTTTCTTCAAAACGCATGTCGTATCCGATAAAAAATATTAGAAAGTTCAAAAAAAATTATCCACGAAGTTTTTTTTTTCGACGCCTCAAATTTGTTCACAAAAATAATGGTGACATTTGACCTTTGTGCGATATTAAAAATCGGCGACGAGGAAATTATCCGTATATACTTTTGAGATTTTTGTGCGGAGTTTGAAATTTTAAAATTTACGCGATCATGTAGATATAAAAATTATGTCATCGTAGCATTAAATTTGTTAGATACTGTATATGTATATCTACTGAGGGTAGTCCACATCCGTGAAAACGATTTTGACCTTTAATATGTTCGGCACTGGTAGTATTTTCAACTTGAAATTTTGTGAATTAATAGGCACTAGCGTTGGTATTGTAGGCGCAAAATTTCAATTCTCTAGTGTAAAAAGCAGACCTTCAACTAACCCCGCAGTAAAACAATGATGTTTTTTTTTGTTTCAGGCATAAATTACCCGGTTAAAAGACATGGAGCAGTTGCTGATAGGCTATAAATGTCAGGAAATAGCAAATTGTGTGAGCCCATGTCTGCAGTACACAATGCAGTTTAAATTTTGATAAAAAAAACAGCTGGGTAGAGTTTTAGAGTAAAAGTTATAACAGCCCCCAATTGGTCAAAATTTCGCTAATTTTTCCCAAATACCTCCATTGCACGAAATTGAACATTTTTAGTACAAAATCTGTTTGCCTTACCATCAGTGATGTCTCCTCTAACTGATAAAATAATAAACATGCAAACATTTCAACTATTGTGATTTATAAAATTCCATTTAACACAAAAAAAACTGTATTCACGCTTTTTTTGTACAAATCCACCTGGTATGGAATGAATTAAAACAAATTTGGGAAATTTTGAGTTATTTATGAAAGCCACATAGATGCCAAAAATTTTCATACCACTCACATAAAATTCCATAAACAATTCACAATTCTAGGAGGTTTTAAAAATATTCTGGAACTTAAAATTTATGCAGTTTTGGAAAGTTTTAGAACAGAACTATTTTTTTCGTATGCATATATCTCTGGCGCCATTTAGACTAGCGAATTGAAATTTTGCACCCATAATGCTGACTATAAGGTAAACAAATTGTAAAATTTTTTCAATTCAAAATTTCTAATAGCGCCAAAGATATTAAAGGTCAAAATCGTTTTCACGGATGTGGACTACCCTCAGTATGTAAGTCGAAAATTTTTACGGACCGGTATAATTTTAACACAGAGCGATAGCCGATATAATGCAGAACTAAATACCTCGCGCATGACTACCTACATAGTTAAGTATATAGTCAAATAACCTATTTAAATTGAACAATTACATACATGTGCCTGGTTCTGCCTGACAGCAATGTTTAAGTTGCTTTCGTCCGATTTGTGGAAGAGATAACATCAAAATGATAATAAGCTTCTAGTTAAGAAGACTCGAATGAGGTGGACTTCATTAAATATGCGTCAATCATACTGTTATCACCATTAATGTCAAATGTCTAAAGATAAATTCTAAATTTGCTGAATTTAGGACCTAATTCAACGAAAACTCATTCCGTATCTCAATCAAGTTGGGAATAACGCACAAAACTGACATATTAACTTAGGATGACAATAAATATGAAGAAAATTTAACTAGATTGGTCCATTTACAACCCACAAGTCAACAAGTGACATTATTTTTTGAGCATCAGTTGCTTGCACATTTTGTTTGCAATGAACATAACTTCGTCCTGGTGCGGACTAATTGTAATTTTGTTGTTACGCTGTGTGATAATTAAGGGGATAATATTGAATAGATGTGAGTTTGGGTATCAACTTAGAGACAATGGAATAGTGCCCAACCAATGGGAGAATGAAATGACCAAATGTATGATTTGGTTATTTTTATCTTATTTATATAATCATATTCAAGAATCGTTGAATGTACGTATTGTGAAATTTCATTGGTTACAGGGCTCTGCATCGTACGCTATTTTACTGGATTTAACACATCGTACGAAAATCAGGATTCGCTTCCCTTAAGAACATATGGGATTTTAAAGGTTAGGACCATTTTAAAATAAAATAAAATAACTAAACAGAACCAATGATCACAGTCGCAATTAACAGATCTCAAACCACTGGTGTGAAGATGAATATAATACAGCCAATCAATGCAGTGTAGCTTGTTCTGGTAGGTGCTTGAAAATTCGAGGCTTTGACATAGTTTGGAAATGATTATTATTGTTTATTAAGAGTTGCAAACTGGAGATGTCACAGCGACGGCAAAATGTGCCAGTCTCATTTTTCAAGCTAACGGAAATTCGTTTTTGCCATGGTCTCCAGCATACCAGGAGCATTGCATGAATACCGATACCATGAACTACACCAGTGATTGCAGAGGTTTGTTGCCTAAAAAAATAAATCTCAAATTCGAATTATTCTGATGACTGCGGTTCCACTTAATTAGAGGAACTAACTTTAAGATCAACCCAGACAGTATTTTATCTGACAGAGGGGGACACAAATGTCATAATTATTTGTTCCGTGGTTAGCTATCCTTCGCCAAGGCTTCGATGGGAATGGGGACGAACTGTAATTTTTTTATTCTATTAAAATTTACAGCACATGATTCATTCTTTATTTTAACACCCAAAGACTTGAATAATATTCAAGTCTATAATCAAGTCTATAGTGACCGCACTATATTATAGTGCGGTCACACTCTTCGTCAGAAAATTTGGTTTCCATTAGCACTACATCATTGGAGCTGGAGACCCCCCCCCCTCCCCCCGCTCGCGTGATATAATTTATGGGCCGTCCCTTATTGCATTCTCTATGCGCGTATGTATAAACGCATTTAGAGTTTGCCGCAAATTGTATGCCATCTTGATTTAGCTCAATTCAATTTACCTTAGTCGTGCGTTACTTACGGTTTAGGTGAATATGTTTTCGACTAGAAGTTTGCTTCATTAGACTTCCATAGTTCTCCAAGCGACATTAAATTTATAGTCCGAGATGCGTTAAACCTGTTGACCTGCCATTAATTGGAAATCCTACCCCCTTTTAACATGTACCAGATAGAACCATATCATTGGATCCTGACAACACACCCACCCATCTTGGCGTCACAAAGTATAAGAATGTCCCCTTATGACTTTTCGATATGCTCCCCTGCGAGGTCAACACACTAGGTCCGGTTGTATCTCAAATACTTTGTTCCGGGTTTATAAAGGGTGTAGTAAAAATGTCAAAAATGCTGCTTTCACCTCATCTGTCGCGTAAATCCCTCCCCTAAGGTTTAGTAGTCACTGCGGGCAAGGTGTGACCTATAAGGAGGGATGAAATAATTCTGGCTTTTTTGACTTAAACTAATATTTGCATGTGCAGCTTCATTGATTTTAGGTAAGTTTAGGCTTCATTCACAGACATCATATCCAAAATAATGCGAGCTATGAAATGTGGAAAAATCAGTATCCAGACCACGATAACCGTGTTTCCAAACCCGGCTGGTACATATTAGGTGAAATGTTCCATTCTATGTCGCATCGATTTCTTCTAATTAAATATAAAAATTTGCAAGTAGAATTCTTGATGCAACCCTCAATGTAGCATAGCTATTTTTGAATTTTATGCAACCACCCCCCCTTTGAAAATTAAGAAAAGACACTGGAAAAAATGAGGAAGCCAACGTACACTCGGTACAACTAGAATTAGACCTCAAGTTGCATTTGCAATTCTAACTTCCCCACGAAGACGGACATTTTGATGCATCAAAAGTTTCAAAATTCGAAAATTGGCGGTTTTTTGACCTATGCATAAATCCTTAAAAAAGTCATGGTCCTAGGCATTTTGAGTCTGACAACCTGATGCCAGAATTTTCTCTGAATTTTGTTAGAAGAGCTATATTTTCAGCTTTTGTTGCCCGACTGAAAATGCCTAGGACCATGAGATTTATGGGGTCAAAGTTTCTGAGGGAGTGGCTTATACAGCAAGAGCCGTAACAAACTCTGGCCACTAATGAGTGCAGAGAGAGAGAAACAGAGTGAGAAAATGGATCGCACATACGACCCTAACGCACGATGGTGGTGGATACCCACCGCCATCCACTTTTCTCACTCTGTCTCACCTTCTCCTGGGAAATATGGGAAATGATTTTGTGGAACATTTGGCCTGGTTTTTATCTGCTTAGAAACTAACTTAACTGCTTAGACTACTACTAACTTAACTGCCTAGACTACTACTAACTTAACTGCTTAGACTACTACTAACTTAACTGCTTAGAAAATTATTGGAGAAAGTTTCCAGGAATTTTGTTCAAAATTTCGAATTTTCACAATTTCAAAATGATTTGCCAATTTGAACAATCATTATTTCAAAAACTTCACAAATTCGTAAAAAAAATAATAATTTAAAAAATCTCATGGTAATTTCAAAATTTTAAACAAATTAAAAAATGACATATGTGCAATTCCAGGCATTAAATATATATCTCCGGTTATAAAAAGGTTGAACTAAAGATCATCCACTAACGAGTTGGACTGTCCCGTCAAAGGCGCGCTAGGCGGGAACACAGCGAAATTAAATTTAGGAAAAATTATTTTTGAATAGACCAAGTTATAAGCTTTCCATTGATATATGTCAACAATTATTGAGTCATGGCTAAGACTAGAAAAACTTGGGTTGAAAGGCAAGAGTTAAAAAAAAGAGTGATTGAGTTTCACAAAAATCGAACAAACTATGATTCCAAAATCACTTGGCACTTTTTCAAGCAAGAAGGTATTCCTCATTCAAATGTCAATTCTTACATAAAAAAGTACGAGGAATCCAATGAACTCAAATTCAAAGTCCCCACTGGTCGACCTGCAAAGCTAGCGACGACAAAAGTCAAAAATCGGATAAAAAAAATCTTGTATGAAAAACATGTATGAATATATTCTTAATCATAATATGTCATCAATTCCCGTTCCGATCACTATGAATTTTTCAGGAAAAATCAAAGACTTTAAAAAATGTGGTTTTTGATTTTTCCTGAAAAATTCATAGCGATCGGAATGGGAATTGATGTCATATTATAATTAAGAATATATTCATACATGTTCATGCCAAATTTCAAATTTTTTGGATGCAATTTAAATTTTCACGGAACATTAAATAGTGTAAAAAGCAATACTTGAATACGTGGATATATTCCTTCAACCAGCAATCATGTGGTTCGAGTTTTCACGCTGTCCTGAAAAATCAAAAAAACAAACTTGGTACGTTATGGTCCCAACTGGTTTTTAACCTGGTATTTTATGGTCCCAACTAGTTTTCGTCCTGGTATTTTATGGTCCCAATTGGTTTTCGTCCTGGTATCTTATGGATCTACGGCGACGATGTTGTAGTTTTTCAGAACCATTTTGGTAGACAAAAAAAATTCAAAGCCCACAAGTCCAGACTATTCACAAAAATTTCAAAAACGTTAACTGGACACACCATTCTGCTTCTATGATCTTCTGATTGGGCGTAAGTGCGATTATTGATCTACCCAATAATATTACGCAAATTGTAAGCCATTAAACTCTATAATCCTAGGAAGCCGAGAAAACACGATCTCCTTGTATAAATCTATCTTAACTAACACGGAAAATTCAATTATTTTGCGATATTTAACAATTTGGAAGACTGGGGTGAGATATTAAGGCAGGTGCCAAATTCTAGTTCCAAATATTTTTTAAAAATTCTTTTCAATCATATTAAACCAAATTGGATCGATTTTGAGACAAAACTCAAAATTTGCAAAAAATCGCACATTTCGGCCCAGATCTCGAAAACTGCTGGCGTACCCCCCCCCCCCCCCACCAATTTTATTACTAATTCTTGATGCACAAAGTATTACGAAAATTTTTAGCCATCAAACTCAAAAATCCTTAGAGCGCAAAAAAAAAACAATTTCATTGTATACATATAAGTATCTATCTGAATAATACGGAAAATGCAATTATTTTGCAAAGTTAAACATATTGGAAAATTGGGGTCAGAAATCAAGGCAGGGGCCAAATTCTGGTCCAAAATAAATTTATGAATTCTTTATATTAAACCAAATTGGAACGATTTTGAGACAAAATTCAAAATTAGCATAAAAATCGGACATTTTGGCTCAAATCTCGAAAACTGCTGGCGTACCCCTCCCCCCAATTTTATTACTAATTCTTGATGTACAAAAATTACGCAAGTTTTCAGTCATCAAACTCAAAAATCGTTAAAGCGCGAAAAAAAACACTATTGCATTGTATATAAAACATCATGACAAAGGTATTGGACCGCCCCTTAAGACGCGCGCTAGGCGGGAAACCAGCGAAATTAAATTTCGAAAAAATTATTTTTGAATAGACCAAGTTATAAGCTTTCCATTGATATATGTCACCAATTATTGAGTCATGGCTAAGACTAGAAAAACTTGGGTTGAAAGGCAAGAGTTAAAAAAAAGAGTGATTGAGTTTCACAAAAATCGAACAAACTATGATTCCAAAATCACTTGGCACTTTTTCAAGCAAGAAGGTATTCCTCATTCAAATGTCAATTCTTACATAAAAAAGTACGAGGAATCCAATAAAGTCAAATTCAAAGTCCCTACTGGTCGACCTGCAAAGCTAGCGACGACAAAAGTCAAAAATCGGATTAAAAAAAATTTTTTAAATGATTCATCAACGGCAACGGCTGGCACGACAAGGAAGGTCAAGATTTCAAAAAGCTATCTGAGCAAAATCAAAGTCCATAAACTAGGGATTACAGCAAGTGCAAAAAAACCAGCATCAAATTACAAACCAACACAAAAGGAAAGGATTCATGCGTGCTGCAAGAAATTGTGAGAGAAAATTTGGGAAAAAGTGGTCATCACGGACGATGAGCCCCACGTCACAGCTAATCCTTCAAATCTTCCAGGAAGGCATTTTTTCCATAGCCCCAACCCCTGTGAAGTAAATTATGAAGACAGAGTCCAAAAGAAAGACTAATTCATAAAAAAATGAAGAATTTGGCAACGCGTGTCTAGAATTGGTCATGTTTCCGATCCCGTTATTTTGGAGGACACTGCAAACCAGGGGGTTTATCTTAAATCACGCATTAAAGGGGGATTGGAATCTTTTATTACCAGAGATTATAGAAAAATCAAGTTTTCTTTTGGCCTGACCTCCCAAGGTCCCATGACGCCAAAAAGGTCACTCAGTACCGACATCCGAAAAAATTGAATTTGTGCCAAAAAATGGAAGCCCACCAAATTTTCCTCAACTGCAACAAATTGAGAAATTCTGAGCGCTGACTCAATCCAAATATTCTAAGCTTTCAGAAACGCCAGACACCTTACGAAAATTTAAGGACAGATGGAAGAAAATCAGCTTGAAAGTAGGTGCAGTCTATGGGCGGAATTTGACGCGAAATCGGAAGAAGAAACTGCAATCTGTAGCAGACAGCGGAATTGAATCATTAAAATTTGAACTGTATGGCGATCCAAACCCTTTGGTAGTAAACATACAACTACTGTATGCAACTGTTTTGAAATTGCATTAACTGCGTAAAAAGTTCTGAGCATTTTATTGCGACAGTCCAACTCGTTAGTGGATGATCTTTATTTAAGGACGAATGGGAACGAAATCGTGCTGTATTAGTGGAGATATACCTAACTACATTTGATTATTTTTTTTCTGATAGGGTGATGATGATCTTATAACTACTACGACTCGCTCACCTGAGGATGTTATAGATATCGCGAATCACGATTTAGCGAAGTTCAATTAGGTCATAATGGAACTTACACTTGTCACGCTGAAAAGGGTGATTGGCCTGATACAGTGTCTCAGACTTATCCATTTCAATTGATTGTCACTCCGTTGACATCGACAACCACAGATAGCAGTAATACTGAGGGTACCTCAAATCCAAGTGAGTCTACGTTAGAGCCTACAACGGACTCTCCTACTTCTAGCCCACCAACTACAGCAGAAAGTTCTGATACTGCGACCTCAAGTACACCAGCTACAACGGGAAACTCTGATTCTCCTACTTCCAGGTTTACAACGACTACGGAAAGATCTGATTCTTCGACGCCAAGTCTAACAACTACTACGGGGAGTTCTGAAACAACCCAGGAAACTTCAAGCCAGACACTGAGTACTTCAACATCTGATCCGTTGGGTCCTGAGCCTAGTTTAAAGCAAGCATTGATTATCGGGGGGAGTCTCACATTAAGTTTGTTAGGACTTTTGGCAATTACTGCAATGCATTTGATTTACAAAAGACGAGGAAAGGTTTGAAATATTTATAATTCGCGTTAAAATTATTTTATTTAACGATTGTAATTCCTAGAGGATCCGGAAGCTATATCAGCAATTTCAAAAGAATCAACAGAATTAGGCCAAAGTAGCGATATAATCAGTTCCTTTAAGCCTGATGACGTTCCGTATTTGAATCGTTCGGAATATTACCCGTATCAGGACGCCATAAGTCTTCCATTTCCAACAGAACTTGAAATTTTGCCGCATCGGTTGGAAATAATGGAGTCTGCGGTCTTAGGAAGCGGCGCTTTTGGCATTGTTTTCCAAGGAAGGCTTGACAATACAATTACCATCGCTGTGAAAACTGTTCCCAAGGATGGACAGGAGTCTAAATTAGCTGCTTTGTTATCGGAAGTTAAAACAATGAATTTTGTTGGACGACATCCAAACATTGTCCAACTACTGGGGGTACAGTTCACAGATTTGAAGAAAGGTAGATTTTTGTCTTTATGTACAATAGTTCATTTCTTTAATTTGCAAACATGATCTAAAAAATTCAGGCATTTTATATGTTGCGGTGGAATTCTGTTCCCGTGGATCGCTGGAGGGCGTACTTCGCGCAAAACGCCGTAGATTGGCAATGGTCCGTTCATACCCTGGAAAAATTTATAATATTCCCGGTTACATTGGGTTAAGATCCATCGAAAAACCTTTTGAATTATATCAATTGCTAAGGTCTTCTCATCAAGTTGGTTGCGCCATGGAATTTCTTGCATCAAAAAGGGTAAACTACTCTGATTAAACGAACTTTATGGTATTAAATTATTTGTGTATTATTTCTTATCTAGATAATCCATGGTGATCTTGCTGCAAGGAATGTGCTGTTGGACGCTAATTTAAACGCTAAGATATCGGATTTTGGTCTTTCCAGGCAGATGTATGACACGTACAAAAAATACGTTGTTGCAAAGGTATCAACAAAAAACAAGAATTTATGTATTTTACAACCTAGTTTAAACAGGGTATGAAAAAATATTTGATACTTTAGGATACTGCGATGCCTTGGAGATGGTGTGCGATAGAAATTTTAAAGTATCGAAAATTCTCCACCGAGTCTGACATTTGGGCTTTCGGAGTTTTCATGTGGGAGGTTTTCAGTCTGGCGGAAATTCCTTACACAGCGGGAATGATTTGTGGACCTGAGTTCGTGAGATATTTGGAAAGTGGGTCTCGTCTTGAAATTCCTCCGTATGGAAATCAAGAGATGTGAGCGAGTTTAAAGAAATTACTTAGGTTCAAGTATCAATATATTGATATAATTTTTATGTATATTTTTTAGATACCAACTGATGAAGAAATGCTGGGAGAGACATCCGTCAAATAGGATAAGCTTCCAACAACTTGCAATGCATATTTTGACTTTGCTACAGGCTGAATATAAAAAGAAATATTGAAGTAATTTATGTATGGTCAGCGTGTTACATACATACCATTTCTCTGCTTTGGTAAGTGTACAGTTTTGTTGGGTGGAGTGACCGTTAAAATGACATTACCTACTGCTTATTTTGCCAATTTCAAATGTAAAATTTGATGTAGAATATTAATTGTATATTGCGGCAAGATTTAAAACAATAAAAGCTTTAATCTTTTAGTGTGAGATTGATATGACTGTGTGTGCAATTATGTATTTAATTCCCAATACATTTAATTGTTATTGTTTACTTGCAAAATTAATGGCGTTGCAAAAATCTACCGTGTGTAAACTTGGGTACACACAAATTTTCCATAACGCATGTCTCATTAAACAAACGAGTTCTGCGCCACGGCTTCAGCATTATCAGTGTCCAGCTTTAAAATAGATTTGCCCCCTTGTTTGAAATATAAGGTCGACAACTTTATTAAACCCTCTCCGAATAGGACTCACTACCAGCATATTTGTCACCTCGGCCAATCCTGACCTCAACAAATTGTTAGAAAAGGACATCTTCGCTTTCAATTCCAAACACATTTTCTAACGAGAGCAGCAAAAGTTGCTCTACGCGGAACAACTGGTCCCCCGATTTTCCAAGCAGGGCTCGAATAAATCGCTGGGAAATAAAACAAATATTCCGGTATTACTTATATGTATAATTAGTTCGGACAAATTATTAGCGCTTGTAAATAGCAGGTACGAATTTATGCGCGTACTCACGAAAACGTATTATGTATTTCGCATCGTTCGGATTTGCAATACATGATTTCGCAAATTTCATAAGTGAGTACAAACCTTTTGTTATCTATTTTAACTTGGGTTCCAGATTATTTTCAATTTTTAAATAAATACATGCCCAATTTGCTGGGAAAATTTTCCAAAAAAATATTTTGGTTTCCGGTCAAAAGTTTTGCGAAATCTCGCAAGTTTCACAAAACTTAGCAAGTTAGGTTGCTATGTTCAGTTTGTGAGATACGTATGCATTGAGGTATGCTCATTATCTGGTAAGGATTTACAGTTACATATAAGGAAATATAAGATTTTCTACGATTTACATTTATAGAAACTTTCGAATTTGAATTTTTCGACAAATTCTTACAAACTTGTAATTTTATTTACTCTATAAAACGCCTCTGTCAATAGCTTCCCATCCCCATGGAAGTAAGAACTGATCATAGTATTCGCGATAATACTCCCTCGTCGTCTCCAAACTCGGCTGAAGCGCGACATTGTAGTGATCCTCGATCCCGAATGAATACCCCAGAACGGCCCAGAGGTGGTTAAACCCGTCCAATTGGTCATCCGTGGCGTCATGAATTCCTAACCTTTCCGGAATTATGGGGTGCAACCCACCCAAGAAAAATTGCGCATTGCTGAACGAGAGCTGATTAAGGAGTGGAACGACGCCATCTCTCGGCGGTAAAATGTCTTTGAACGTCCACTCCCTAAACTTTTTGGGAATTGAGGAAGCTTCCAAGTCAGCCTGGATGGCATCCCACATTGCCCCATCGTAGCTGAAATCTTCATCTCGGATGTTATTTTTCGGTGGTTCCGATAACCCGGACCAAGTATAATTTCTGAGCAGGCAAAAGTGTACACCTTGCGTGCGCGTTATAGATTCCATGACATTTTCAAGGTTTGAACTTCCCTCCTGCTCGTAGTATAGCTTCATGTGCAACATGGTGGCCAAGTAGCGTCGATTAGATTTGAATGGGGTGTCCGATTTCCCGCTGGCGATGAGCAGGGGACGGATTAAGGGGTGATTCGCGAACATGGGGAGGGCCGCGATGGGTGCGAGAAAAGTGGAGAAAAGATTTTTTTGTGCGAATTTTTGCCCGATTTGGAACAACGTGGCGTTGTACCAAGGGGGAAGATGGTTGAAGGCTGAGTTAAGGGGCGGTAGATGCCGGAAACGATGGAGGATACGGGAAGTGCGCAAGGTGGCGGGGCTTGTCGGCTGAAAGAAATTGAAAATTGATTAATCACATAAGGACGATGGTATTTATTTATAAGGTTTAAATTGGCTACCCTTCCGTCCCCAGGGGACGAGGGATGCATCGTTGTGCAGATGCGAGGATTAAAACATATAGGAAAAATAAGAAATGTCCTAAGAGCTTCATTTTTGACAGATTGTGTTTTCTTTAGAGGTTAAGGTGTGAATGGAGATACGAGTTTAATTGTTGGTCTCCAGTATCTAAATGTTTGATTTATCTATGTATGTGATTTTAGATTGGCTTAATTATTCCAATTATGTAATATGGCCATTATTATTAGCACCTTGGTATTTGCATATTATATTTATAACATTTACCACAGATACATTTACATGTTTTAAAGAAATGGTATATGTATCTATTACATAGACTTGCAAACATAGATATGTATATGTATTTATGTAATTATGCAAATATGTTGAATTTTACACGCTTAAAAATGTTCCCGACTTTGCAAGAAGTAAACTGGTAGACAATTATATATAAAGTAACATTGACTAAATTTAGCGTTAAATGGATAACTTCAATTTTAGTTATGCATCATTTAGCCATAATTTTAGTTAAGTCGGTATATTACTTTAAAATAAGTTAGACGTTACACCAATCAGGGTCAGACTGTACTAGCATTTACTACATTCCGGGTACTTTGTCCCGCCAAAAAAAAGCTTAGTCCACGCTCAACTTTTCCCTCGCCGTTGTAACAAGAGTGAGTGCCCGATTGCGAATTAAAACTAAAGTATACATTAATTAATTTGCCTAATAATTAATTAGTTGAAGCTCGTGAAATATTCCACACCAACTGTACTAGATATGGAAGAAAATACTCGACTACTATCGCAATGTGGGCTGGATTATTAAGGGTAAGTTTATCTACAATTGTCCATAACTTACACTTTGCTCATTTCATTTTATTTTATTCTGTAAAATAGAAAATGCAACGGACGACGCGACGCGGAATAAAATTTGGCAACAATTGTACCAATACGAAACTTTTGAAGGAATTCAGAAGTAGCAAAATGGCACTATTTACGTATGTTTTCAATGCAAAAATTCCTTCACTAAATTACCATTACTCTCCGGTCACTTTAAATATGTACATAGGTTATCAAAGGCGATTATTTCATATTATTTTTGGTTGTTTTATAATTTTGATTTAAAGAGTGCAAGTGGATTTAATTGAAATAAAAATATGCTAATGAGGATATTTACAAATACCGCATTCATTTTATTGAGACACTAAATACCGCGACCATTATTCATTTTACTTAATATGGGGTTAGAACAGTAACCCCAACCAGGGTTAGCACCAAGACGAGAATAGGGTAAATGGCTATTTGCAAAGGGTAACTACCGTTACTTTGTTGCTGCGTGGTGGCTGTATACCCCAAATCGGGTAAAGTCACTTTTACGTTTATATGTAGTTATATTTTACTCCTTTTAGGATAATAATTTTTAAGCGTGTAGAAACCAGTTTTTTGGATAATGAATGTGAAGGTTAGATACATACATTTGTACTTGCAAATAACGGGAGGAAGGACTTATACTATTGTCGATCGTCGTGTCTGTATGTTTGTCTGTAGGTCATGTTGTTTAAGGCTGGAAATTTGGCAATCAAATTCGAACAAGATAAGAAAGCAAGTTTGCTATCATTGTTCAGTTATACGTGTTGAATTATGGCGTATGTACACATAGATAATTTAAATTGTAAAATAATTGGCAGACATTTCTATGGCGTTACATGTAAAAATGATAGACTAGAAATAACTCGATACCGTTTTTGATAATTGTAAAAATTGTGAGCTCTCGTCAAAAATATCAGACTTTTGTGATACTGATTGATTTTGCGTAGTCAATAAAAGTTCTGGGAGTGAATCTGACTTTTCCTTGAGACAAGTTTTCTGAAACTACGAGTCAGAGTCTAGATCGGGTAGATTTAGTCGTCTTTCGAAAATGCGTTTTTTGAGTAATTTAAAAAACCGACAAAATTAGGCTGACAAAAAAAGTTAGATATTTATTTTCCCAGTTCTTCCTTATCATATGTCTCATAGGGAATTTAATTTTCGAGTAACCAACGATGGATTCAGAATTGTTTAAGAAAACGACTGGAGCGGGCTGCACCAACCAGGTGCAACGCAAGTTTTTATCGTGCCGTTTTTTAAGTGGTTTTAACATCTGAGATTGTTCACTCTTTGTCGTAGTTAATCACTCAATTGAATTAATTAAGAGTACAAAACCTTTGAGGTGTATGATTAAGCGAATTGTCTTTCAGGACAAGTTTACGTAAGTATATATGTATATGTATATTTAGCAGCATAAAAATGCATGAATACATTTGCATAGTTATGTGGAAAATGTCCAAATCGTGAGGAATTTTGCTTGCAAGTTGCATAGGAGTTACATACCAAATTGGTCCCCGCTTTTAGAGTTTAGAAAATCGCGATTTTGCTATTGCCATTTTTTTCGATTTTAGTCCAGTTTTTGTTGTTACTAGCATGAAACTTATTTGCAAAACCTCTTGCATAAATGGGGCAGCATATCCTTTTTTATTAATTTATTTACCATATATACTAATAAATAGACCGATATTTTGATCGGGCTTAAAAAACGCTATAATCTATAACTGCGAAAACCTAAACTTATGAATCAACAAAGTCAGCAACAAGTAAAGAGCAATCCACGCCGCATTTGTAGCAAATCCAGGCCAAACTCCAGCATGCGAGAATCCCCATCCTCGAGATACGATGGAACGCATCGATTCAGCCGCTAATTTGCAGGGGAGTAGGTATGTAAAGTATTGCATTATAATTGGCATTCCTTCAATGGGCCAAATAATTCCTAAAATTTAGAGTAAAAATTTCAGTTTTCATAAATATTCCATAATCTGTTCCATTAATTACACATTTCTCAAACCTGACAAAATCATATTGGGGAAAAATGTTGCAATCGCTAACATAACTGCCGAAATTTCTTCATCGCAAAATGATGCAATCAGCAGTCCTGACATATTTAACTTTTTAATTAAAAAGTTCATTGAGGGTATTCATTATACCTTTGTATCCCTAGCATAATAAAATAGTTTACGAAGAGAAAATAAAGAGGGAATTCACGTCAAGATTTATAACTTGGTTACTGCGAAAGATTTGTAAGCTTTCACAATTTTACGAACTTTTATACACATTACTAATCCTAAGGAATCCTTCGTAAGGAAATATGACTTACGAACTTTTACGAAACTTACGAACTATTTATTAAAAATGCATAATTCTATTTCTTAAGCACAAGTTCGTAAATAAACATAGAGTAAACTTACAAACCCAAACAAACAAAGCTAACAAAGTTACGTCATTACAAACTTGACGTGACGTCCCTCACAGCGTCAAGCTTCATAAGCTTAGCAACACAGTAAATGTACAACAGCACAATATTACAATATTATATTAGTTCCAAAGCAAGGATACGAAGGAACCATGAATACCCTCATTATTTTTATTCTGGGTAATTAAAACAAAAAGACTGACCCATTGATATTCCGCCCAATCCCATCATCAAAGTGATTCCTACAGCTAAACTAATACTGCCTAAGATCTCAATATTGAACAAGTAGAGAATTATGGAAAATGAGAAAATGCACTGGATCACGACAACGATTCCTTCCGTTAGTAAAAGTGATGTCATGATTTCCCAACTTTGCCTGAAATTAATAAATATTTACTAAAAACTTCAAACATTTGAAATTTTTTTCATAATTTTGCTTACACCCCGGCAACCATACTTCTCTCCAGGCTGAAATACAAATAGTAAATTTTATACTAAAATGTGGTAAGGAATTCAACAATTTTATTTACATACGTTCCCTGCTTCTTATCCCAGATGTATGAAACCGCAGTGGAGCAGAGTGGAAAAAATAACATTATGCTAAAAGTATTAAATGAAATTTGGTATATGAATTTTTTTTTCGGGGATCAAAATTCAGTTATCTAAGTAAATACTCACGCTACAAGTACACCGGGTGAGATAAATTCCTTAAAATCGGTGTCATCCGTACCATAAGCGGGGTCCACATACTAGAGTGAGTAAACATTTTGGGTATTCATTACGAGTTCACATTATAAAAACACAAGCTTCCTAAATTCGCTAAAAATTTGCTTGAAAACTAATTTGCCAAATTTGAGCATCTGCAAGACTAGGATTTACTTTAAATTACCAGCTCGAAATGAATGCCCCCTTTGTAACCTTCAAACTGATAAAATTGATGACTAGCTTACATGAATCGGCGATACTGCCAAGTCCTCGTAAAATCCACACTTTACTAACACGTCTTTCAGAAATATTTCAAACGCGTCATATATCTCGATTTTGATGGAGTGAGCAATTTGTTTATCTAAACGTGGGAATCATATATTTTTTTTAATTGGACATAATAAGTAATTAAAAATTCCGATCTACTTGAGTAGTCCATCTCCATTTTGACATAAGATCCTCGCAAGGTTTCATTCTCAATCGGTCCGGCCGCGCTGGCACGTTCGTACAAGCTATCCGACCAATTTTCTGGAAAGGAGAAAAATCCCCACACATGTCCAGCTTTCACGGCGTCTCTGGCTAACTCATCGGTTGCGTAGTCTCTCTGAAAAAGAAGGGGGTGTAACAAATTGAATTACGAGTTCATAATACCAAATTTTCATTGTTGTGTATTTATCGTCCCACCAAATAAATCGTATCGGAAGGTATTTCCGCGAGAAATTTGCAACTCAAGTTCTCCACGTCGCATCCTTCGTCTGTTTTACTTGCACGATCCAGTGTAGGACAGGAGGTGTAATTCAATTCGTGATTAACCACTCCCATCCACATTGGCCTGAAATTTAGAAATATGTAATTTAAACTTTAGTTGAATTTGATGTGTTTAAATTAAATTAATCAAGTCGTAGCGAGCCCACACTGTTAGAAATTGATTTCTCGGTATTATAATTACTTACTCTACCGCTTGGTATTAAAATTATACCAATCTGTAAAAATTTGCTACCCATACATACAGTAAAACTTTAATGCCTAGTTACTACTACACGGTATTACATACTTATCAATGCCACTTAATATGAATACCGTTTGGTATTATTTTAATACTCGATTTCTAAGAGTGTCGTAATATGAAATATTTACTTTGGATCGTTTCCTATAGCCAGACAAATTACGAGCACTTGTGTCGCAGGGACGATCATCATGAACACGAGGAGGATTAAATTTCTCGTCATGACCACGTAGTTCTTGGCCACTAAAGCCTTAATCCTTTGGAAAGACGTAGTCGATTCATACGGTTTGTATTGTATTGAGCCGGCTGAGGAAAATTTCCGATAAGTCATCATTTTTCCGACCGATTTAATCGCTGCAATGGCTATAAACCAATGGACACAAGTTAAATAACAATATTAAATACGAAAGAATATTATTTAATGACGTACAGATTCGCCTATTCTGAACATTTGGAGTGTCAATGTTCATATCGTCGTTTTTACACAATTTTAAAACAATATCCTCCAACGAGTTGGTTTCATGTTTGGCAAGCAGTTCTTGCGGACTGGACTCTGTGATGAGGCGTCCACCTCGCATTAATCCGATCTGTGCGGAGAAAAAAAATTCTCTATTAACTAATTTTCTAACTTAAGCATTGCCATGTGTACGGACCTTATTTGATGGGCGTGCTTCTTCCGTGTAATGGGTGGTAATTATAACAGTGGTATTCTTTGTCGCTACGAGACTTAAGAGATGGTTCCATATGCTAAATATGATAATGAAGTGAAGTTGTGTGATATAATAAAACCATGCGTTTCGAATGAAAATAAAATTGGTCTCACTTTTCCCTTAGTAACGGATCCACGCCGACTGTAGGTTCACTTCATTGACGTAAATGTAAACACATAAATTAAATTTAACTTGAAAATTTTACTTAAACCTAAAAATTAAAATTACAACTAAACTTACTCTAAGATGAGCAGTTCAGGAGAATGAATTAACTACGCAATAAAATAAATTGTTATAATATAAGATGATAATATAAAATCATAATAAAATTCTAATAAAAGTTAGTTCTGGAATATTTGTACTTACAGAAAGTGCCAGAGAAACTCTTCTTTTTTGACCGCCACTAAAATGCGAAATAGAATCATACTTCAATTCATGGATCCAAATTTTATATTCGTATCATGGAAATACACAAACCTCAACGTTCCTATGCGTCTCTCAGCGTCCGGCAAGTCTAAGAACTTGATGAGAAAGTCACGACTTTCTCTCAACTCGGGACCACTCATGTCATACAGAGCAGCGAAGTATTGCATTGATTCATTAATTGAAGTCATTGTACAGTGAATTTTCTTGCGGCATGAATCCCACACGCTTGCCTGGAATTCCACTTTCCCGAGAACCTGGTTCTCCACCAAAGACGGTAATTTCTCCAGAATTTAGTTTCCGAATTCCCACAATGCAGGACAATAAAGTCGTCTTCCCACAGCCGGATGAGCCCAAAAGAGAATAACTGCAAGAAATGTAAACAGTATTCTATTTTCACTTTTAAAAATAATGTTGCCCTTTTGAAATATAAATGCAGTCTCAATTTTATATTATGTAAGCTATGCAAAATCAAGAGTAACGTTAACTTGATAAAGAGTAAAGTTTGGTCTAGATTTAGTATAGTTTTCTTAATAAAGAATTAAGAGTGCATTTCAATTTGAACATTAAGGTTAATATTGTTTTTAAGAGTGTACAGACTAGTGATGCAACGAGTCCTCCATTTCGAGTTCGAGCCGAGTTCGAGTACTCTGCAAAGCTCGGTGCCGAGTGCTCGAACTCGTTCGAGTTCGAGCACTCGGCACCGAGCTTTGCAGATCCCCAGGTCGGATTGGCAGATAGAAGAAGAGCTACCGAACCCGCGACATGAGGGGTAGCCTTTCGGTTAGAAAATGACAATTAGTTTATGAAAATAATATTCAGTGTTGCGGATTTACTACATTTCTTGAACTGGAAAGCAAGAAATGTAAGAAAGTGCAAGAAATATGCGTCATTTAGCAATGAGTCGTATGAACTACAGCGGCGTGAAGTAGTTTCTTGCACCTTGCATTTTTTGCAGGTCCAAATATTTAGCTGCAAGACACCACTTTTTGCGAGTGGCTCCTTGCACCCAAAACTCTGATAGTTTTATAAAAAAATTACGGAAACCCTTACCATTGAAGTTCCCGTATTTGTAACGTAATTACTCGCACCCGTCCCGCACGAGATGACATTTGTCCCTGGGGCAGACACTTCCGGTTTATTTAACCCCGTAGACGTCGGTCCCCTCGAGGAGTAAATGCCCATACCGTCAACATCATTCGTAGCCCCGACAGCAATCACCTCAGGCATGTTAGCAGAGGCTGACACCGTTCGGCAGAAACGTCCACTGTTGCCCATCGCAAAGACGGGAATGATCCCCGCCTGTCTCCACGCTTCGACGGCGGGCCTGAAAAATGGATTTGCTTGTGGACCACCCCACGAGTTGCAGACGACATTTGGTCGAGGCGTGGACGTCAAGAAGAATTCACCGCATTGGAGAAGTAGAGCTTCTGTGGTGTTTCCGGTATGGTTAAATCCACGACAGGCCGTCCATTGGGCGCCGGGCGCGACGCCGATGCCATTTGCTCGCCCAAGGACCTAAGTAGAATAGTTGGATATATGTATTAACAGTGTTAATTTAACAAGTCTCACTTTGCCCCTAATATCTCAACTCACCGTTCCCGCCACGTGCGAACCATGTCCCAGCACGTCCGTGGGTGCCGCCTCGTTATGGTGGGGATCCAACCAGGCCCCTGCGTATCCCGCCGAAAGGGCTTCATGACCCAAATTGACCCCCGAATCAAAGATACCTACGACCACGCCCTCTCCCTGGGTGATGCTCCACACGAGGTTTGCCCTAATTTTGGCCACGCCCCATTGCGGGTTTTGCAAGGTGACGACTTCCTCCCCGGTTATCGGATCAGTTATGTAATCCGTGCCCTGCGCTCGGATGAGAAAGTCTCCCGGGGTGGAGGTAAGCTGAGACAGTTTTTCGAGCGTGAGACCCTTCACCAAAATGACGTTGGAGACCCAGTACTGCTCAACGGTGAGACCGAGAGATTTTGCCACGGCGACGAGGGGCGCTTGGGCGGCGGAGGTGAGGCCGCGTAACGAGGCGACGAGGGCGGAAACCTTGGCGTCACCGGAGAGTGATTGGAGAGCCACGTTTCCCTTGATCTGGTCCATGACTTGGGGGAACTCGATAATGGCTTCGGTCACGCGGGAGAATTCGACGGACCGTTTGAGGTTGAGATCGACCACGCCGGCGGAGGCGAGGGCGACAAGCGCGGAAAGTACGAAGAGTTGGGGCTTCATGATTCCTGAAGGAGGAGGTTGCTTTCAGTGGGGTGGGTTTAGTTGAATGATGCTAAACTGGGTGATTGGAGCTCTTTTTATACCGAATTTTATTAAGGTTATGTAAATGTGGGGATGATTTTTAAACATTTTATCTCGGTGGGGAAAACTGGATCCGTTTCATAACTCGGGATTTCCGTAAAGATCTGGGACAGAAAGGTTGGACTGGACAGAGACGGATTTGGATCGACTTACCTGTTTTATATAGATAAGCAGGAGGGGAATTTTATTTCCAATTGAGAATTTATGAACGTGTGATTTGCATTATGTAACTTATTTGCACATATGTCGCGTCAAACGTTTATTTAATTTCTTTTCACAAAAATAATCTATTTTGGCTGGTTCACAATGAGTGATTGTATAATAAATAATGCTAATTGGTAAGAGGGATGTCTCAAAATTAGCCATGTTAGAATTTTTGCATGAAACTGCCCTTGAAAATTTACATATGTACAGTTAGATTGTTGGTTACTGAAACTAAATAATATTCGTATTTAAACTGTTGGAACACTCTCTGAAAATGGGGGGGGGGTACAATTTCGAAACTTTATTTCCAAATGTACATATGCATGTAACTTCGTATACCTATACATCCATACATACATATGTACCTATGTATGTAATTTCTAGTTTTCATGCATAATCCTTCAGATTTCCCATCCCATAATTCATGTCGTAAAATTGATAAAGCTTTGGCTTATACGAATGTACTCTATGACTGTAGGTACATCTGTTCTTATTTATCAGATAAACTGCTTATCCATTATATCTGTACGAATATTCAGTATGATGATCCATACATAGTTATCCAGGCACCTAAACACTTATCACTTCGAATATCTAAATATCATGCATGAGTTCGGTCTTATGTAAGGCAGATAAGTAATTGCACTATGGGAAATTCCTGTTTAAACTTTCTCTATCTACGATTTGCCCTTGTGAAGTATAGTTAAGTAAATAGAAAAAAAGAGTTCTAAAGTCAGGCATATTTACAAATATGTGTTTACATTTTTAATTGTTGTTGTCCAGTCCGATCTTTAGTTAGGAAATATTTACCACCGTTACTTCAAACAGTGACGATAAGTGATCAGTAGGTACATAAATAATGCTAAATCTTAAATAGCGCGTAATAAGTAATAATCAAAACGATAGTTTTTTAGGTTTCAAGTCAGTTTATTTTTTTAAGATATTCGGGTCAAGTTCATACATATGATGGGACTATGCTAAATACACAGCTCGGATTTACTACCAATTTCTACTCTAAATTACCGTAATGCCCACAAATTATTTCCCAATTGTTAACAATGCTTTAAAAGTGCCTTTAACTATACCCTGAAAGAACTTTAATAGCGTGTTCCTTTTAAACGAAAACACACCTTCGACTCCAAAGTTGAATGGACGACATGATTTACGAATTCTCGAAATTAACCTTTTATCCTCGGCTTTAATGTGTTTCCAGGATTTCGGTATTTTCCTCAACCTGGAGTCAATCCGGCCTAAAATTTCTACAGCGATTCCCCACATAATTTGCACGGTTATCGTCCAAACGGATAGGAGCAACTTAAAATAAATAGGACATAAATTGTATACACTCTTAAAAATAATGTTACCCTTGTCACAAGAAAATGCACTCTCAGATCAGAATTAAGTTAACTATGCTGAATCCACCCTAACATTAACTTCATAAGGAGTAAAGCTTCCCGAGTGAAAATCGTATGCCGAATTTGACATAATTCTACACAGGTGGCCCGAACCATGGTTTTTACAGAAAAATCATGAACGATTCTGCATAAAACTTCTGACAGGTATGTATATTCTGCAGAAAGGTTTAGCACAATCTACTTCCATAAAGCGTTAGTGTTAAGTCGCTGCCTGCCTGACTGACCGAGGAGTGATGCGATGCAAGTTGCCCCGTAGAGAAGACAAAGAAGGACGCGGAGTGAATTGCATGCATGAAAATGCTGCTCCCTACTGCATGAGTCTGAACTTCGCCTGCACGTGACTTTCACGTACGTACACTTGCCATCAAACTCAAATTAAATGCCTTTGTATATAAACACAGTGTGCAAGTAAATTGAGTGAGAGAGCAGTATACATACATACATACGTCACTCATCAATAGTGGTTATCATGATAAGTAATCTTGATAAACACTATTAATTAATTATTTTAGTTTGAGAAACTCCACCCACAGCGAGTGGCATATCAATTCGAATGTATTTTTGACGCTGAATCCAACGTCGTCCATGGTTTTGACCTGCGAGGCCCCCGTGACCTTCCCGTGACCGTGGGGTTCAAATATTGCTTATTCGTGATGTCGCATATCAATTCGAATGTATTTTTGACGCTGAATTCAACGCCGTCAATGGTTTTGACCTGCGAGGCCCCCGTGACCTTCCCGTGACCGTGGGGTTCAAATATTGCTTATTCGTGATGTCGCATATCAATTCGAATGTATTTTTGACGCTGAATTCAACGCCGTCAATGGTTTTGACCTGCGAGGCCCCCGTGACCTTCCCGTGACCGTGGGGTTCAAATATTGCTTATTCGTGATGTCGCATATCAATTCGAATGTATTTTTGACGCTGAATTCAACGCCGTCAATGGTTTTGACCTGCGAGGCCCCCGTGACCTTCCCGTGACCGTGGGGTTCAAATATTGCTTATTCGTGATGTCGCATATCAATTCGAATGTATTTTTGACGCTGAATCCAACGCCGTCAATAGCTTGGCGTTAATTGTAGAAGTTAAAGGGGATTGTGGAAGCTAACGGGGTTTGTGGAAGTTAATGGGAGCGTGGAACGTGAGAATTTAAGTGGTTAGCTATCCAGCCACTCCCACAGGGGGAAATCAGATTGTTCCGTAACCAGGGAAATTAAAATACAGCATGACTTGGGCACTTTGATGCATGTATGCGCTATGACAAGGGACAAAGTCTCTACTGGAAATTATTTAAAGTTTAGGGATTTTGCGCTATGGGCACACCCCCCTGGGGGCCTAGAACCCGTTCTTGAACGGGCCTCTACTCTAGTTATACATAATTCTGCATATTTTGTGCATAAATTGTTTCGGCGTAGATTTTAATGCATAAACTCCAGCCAATTCTCTGAATAAAACCCAGCCAAATTTATGCATAAAATCCCTTAAATTCTTCATCCGGGTTAAAAGAGGTCCACTAATGTCGCGGACTGCCCCGTCAAAGGCGCGCTGGGCGGGAACACATCGAAATTAAATTGCGAAAAAATTATTTTTGAATAGACCAAGTTATAAGCTTTCCATTGATATATGTCACCAATTATTGAGTCATGGCTAAGACTAGAAAAACTTGGGTTGAAAGGCAAGAGTTGAAAAAAAGAGTGATTGAGTTTCACAAAAATCGAACAAACTATGATTCTAAAATCACTTGGCACTTTTTCAAGCAAGAAGGTATTCCTCATTCAAATGTCAACTCTTACATAAAAAAGTACGAGGAATCCAATGAACTCAAATTCAAAGTCCCCACTGGTCGATCTGCAAAGCTAGCGACGACAAAAGTCAAAAATTGCACAAATAAAATCTTCAAAAATTATCCATCAACGACAATGGCTGCAGCGGAAAGTAAGGTCAAGATTTCAAAAAGCTATCTGAGCAAAATCGAAGTCCATAAACTAGGGATTACAGCAAGGGCAAAAAAACCAGCACCAAATTGTCTCAATAATCAGTTGTTGCGACATGGATCTGCTACCCTAATATACATAAGTCTTGTATATATTTAGCTTATGAACTCATCACAAGCTGTGGTGGCCACTCGACAAACGACAAACGTGTAAAACTGCATGGGAACTGAAAATAATATGCACGGATAGTAAAGAGATTTTCTAGTCTTATATTGCCCCTGAAATCTTACGCTACATTTTTACGTTTGTTACAAATTCGTTTTGCTCACAAATATCTATAAAATAACTAATAAAATTATACTTTTGACATTTTCAAAAATTTCTAGGCATGCAAATTAATTTATTGAGAGAAATCTCACTGCCTAGGAGTTGACTGTCAAGTCAATTGAAGTGCTCATAATCAGAAGCGCATTTTGTATTGCTCTGTGCAGTATGAATCATTGGAGAATAGTCAACCCTTTAAATTGCACCAATTAGCAATTATACTCCTCCAGTGAGATAGTATTGGGTAGACAATATTAAGGTGAATGCTCCACTTGCTTTTACCGAATCAATTAGTGAAATGTTTCATTTATGCCCATGTGACTGTTACGACGACTGCTGGTCATTCCAGCTAAAACAAAAGTAATCAAATTTTGGACAGACTTTTGTACATCATGACATCACGAGAGAGTCATCAAGTATTGAAGAAGATTCGGGGAAACGTGGTCATCATGGACAATGAGCCCCACGTCACAGCCGACACTTCAAATCTTCCAGGAACGCATTTTTTCCATAGTTCCAACCCCTATGAAGTAAAATATGAAGACAAAGTCCAAAAGAAATACCAATTCCTAAAAAAATGAAGAATTTGGCAACGCATGTCTAGCATTGGTCATGTTTCCGATCCCGTCATTTTGGAGGGTACTGTAAACCAGGAGGTTTATCTTAAATCATGCATTAAAGGGGGATTGGAATCGTTTATTACCAAGGATCATAAAAAAATAAAGTTTTGCTTTGGCCTGACCTCGCAACTTCCCATGACGCCAAAAAGGTCACGGAGTACCGACATCTGAAAAAAATTGAATTTGTGCCAAAAAATGGAAACCCACCAAATTTTCCTCAACTGCGACCAATTGAGAAATTCTGGGCGCTGACTAAGTCCAAATATTCTAAGCTTTCAGAAACGCCAGACACCTTACGAAAATTTAAGAACAGATAGAAGAAAATCAGCTTGAAAGTAGGTGCAGTCTATGGGCAGAATTTGACGCGAAATCGGAAGAAGAAAATGCAATCTGCAGCAGACAGCGGAATCGAATCATTAAAA